TATGTTGAAGTACACCTGAACACCTCTGGTCATTTATCATCTATTGATTGTTCTGACAATTAATAATAAAAGAATTGATTTAAGACTTTTTGATAATAATTACGGCTCTTTGTTCTTTCAGGGAATGGCCTTGTTTTCGTCTATAACAATTAATAAATTAGTTGACAATTATTTCATCAATTGATTAACCACAATTAATTTGATCAATCGTTTCAGTCCTGTATCATTTCTTCTTTAAATTTTCTCCAGCTGCAAGAGGGCCTGGTTACGGCATGCTGTCCATCCGTGTCGACGGGAACGACGTGTTCGCCGTCTACAACGCCACAAAGGAAGCGCGGCGCAGGGCTGTGGCTGAAAACCAGCCTTTCCTCATCGAGGCGATGACTTACAGGTTCGCGGTTTCATCTTTTTTCCACACACTCCATCCTCATTTCCAAACCAAAACTTTAACAGTCAAATAGAGAGAGGCGAAGAGTTTAAAAAAGATGTGTGCAGCAAATTAACAACAGTTATTTACATAAGCACAATGGCAGCTTTATCGTCATTAAAATCCACATTAAACCTGTTTAAGGAAGTTAAACAGGTATCTTTCCTTTTCCACAGCTGATGACCCTTCACCTTTCCAAAGGTCATTTTACATCTAAATGTTTTCCTGACAAGCTGAAGCATACAGTGCTGTTGGATTTGATTAACAAATTCTAGTGAAGGAGAAATCTCCACAAGTTGTTTGAAGAAAATACTTTCACTCTCAAATGTTTCCAGTGTTCCCTCTTTAGAACGGAATCAAATTACTAATAAACCTTTTTAGATTAAGCCGACAAAGCCTCCACAGTGTGAGTGGAGTAAAATGTCTCTAAGCTTCTTTCTCGTAAAAATATAAGGGCTCACAATATTTTCATTGCATTAATTCTGGCCCAAGCAGTGTAATTCATCAGCAAATTAGAAAATAACTATTTAAAAGTGTTGCTTTTCTTTATTGTAAGACATTAGACGAGATAACTGTTCTTCCATTTGCCTTTCACTGAACTGCTAGTAAAGGATTATTGTGTTTTAACACAAGTTAATAAATGGGTCTAAATATAAATCCAGTCCTTTGAAAAATTAAGTGAAATAAAAGCAATTTAATTCAGTTTAAGATTTTGTCTCCAGTAGTTTTGGACCACATTGTCTGTGTTGATCAGCTGGGGCCTGATTGATTTCTGAATTCTCCTCAAACCACTAAATCCAACGTGATGCATGTGTACCACAAATGACTGTTGATGCAAATTCAACACGTACCAGTAACCATACCAGAAGCTTTTTTTTTTTGTACTTTATTTTTTAATGAGATTTTAATACATGACAAAACATCACACCAACACTGAAAAAAGGCAAATAACAAAAACAAAAAAATATATAAATAAAAATTAAAAATGGACAATGAACAGCAATCGGAACAGAGGTCACCAAGGGAGGGGGACAGCAATACATTGCATAGAAAGAAAATGAACAGACAGCTTTTGATGCACGGGTTACAGTAAGTGAAAAGTTAGATGAAGAGACAAACAGGTGAGAATTTTTATCCAGAATTACCAAGTCCTGCCAAACCACACAGCACCAAGCCCCATTTACCACCTCAAAAATAAATGGATGATATTCAAGTTACTTTAGAGTTTTTATATATTAACCATTTTAACCAATATTTTTGAATTTTGTTTTCCTGAAGTCTTATAGAGAATGTGAGCCTTTCCATTTCGCGTATTTCTTCAACCGTGGCTGACCAGTCACACAAAGTCGGAGGGCTCCCACTCATACCAGAAGCTTGATTTGTTTGAAAAACAAATTAGGAAAAAATCATTTTAAATTGATTTAAGACTCTTAGGGTGCAGTCACACCAATCCTGTTTATTCCGCATTACCATAACAACTGACAACAACTCAGTCGTTATAGTGCAACAGCATTCAACATCACAAAACATGACATTTCCCACACAAATCACAAAATGTTCAGTCCTATGTTTTCAAACTTGACGTTTATTTTGCGATTATTTAGAAGTGATCGCTGTGGTAGACTAGCTACCGCTGCTATTAGCTAAGCTAACACAGCTGTGGTTGATTAGCTAATTCAAACATTTAAATTGCTCTACTGATAATCTGCCAGAAAACTGTTGTGTGGGTTGCCTGTTTTTTCCTTTCTTTTTTTTGACTGAACTGAAACACGCTGAATTCTGCAGTATATCTACAAGTTACATTTGTCATAGTCAAGCTAGCATGAGTGACCTATGTCCCTCACCCTCATTATATTTTTTTCTTAAAACTTTTTCCTGACCTGGGTATCGAGTTCCTGTAACGTTGAGAATTAGCAGTAAAGCACTGCGTCCCCTTTTATTTTATATATTAGGCGTACATTTAACATTTGTTGCGTTATGTTGACAACTTGACAGCTAAAACCAATGGTAGCCATTGTCGTCTAGCAGGTTTTTGCTGGGTCTCGTGTCACGTTGCAACATATCTACATCTACAGGCTAACAAAGGCTCATGGTGTAGTTGGATTTGAATACCAAATTCTTGTTAAAATTCCCTCTCCAGTTGTTTATTGAAAGGAACTACTTTCCCTCACAAATGTTTTTAAATATGAAAAGCCTGAGGGATGTTTCTGGTTCTTCCACAGAATCGGGCATCACAGCACCAGCGACGACAGCTCGGCCTACCGCTCCGTGGACGAGGTGAACTACTGGGACAAGCAGGACCACCCCATCTCCCGGCTGAGGCACTACATGACGGCACGCGGCTGGTGGAGCGAGGACGACGAGCGCAGCTGGAGGAAACAGTCACGCAAGACTGTGATGGAGGCGTTCGAGAGGGCAGAGAGGCGCCTGAAGCCCAACCCAGAGCTGCTGTTCACCGACGTCTACCAGGAGATGATCCCCACCCTGGCCAAGCAGAGGGATTCCCTGTTCAGGCACATCCAGCAGTACAAAGAGCATTACCCCGTCGACCTGTTCGAGAAATAACCCCCATATGCAGTAGTGTGTGAGGACTGGAAGTAGCTGCACACCACATGTTGTGTTCAAGTAACAGTTTGATGTGTCATTGCACATTCTGGACATATGCTTTTAAAACAAATGATTTCTAATGGTTTTTGGTGCCTTATGGTAGAAAAAAAGCCACATTTTACAGAAATGAAATGGTTTCTTTTAGGGCTGGGCGAAAAATCTTTTTCTTTTTTTTTTCACATGTTGCATTTCCACAGTTCAGTGTGACGTCATCATCATCGCCCTGGGCGGCCATGTTGTTGTACAGCTTCTATTTGTCTGGACTGAATTCAGGTCAGCTCTACAACAAAATGTCTGGGCCAGGCTATGGTTTTCTTTTTTAACTACTAGAATTTAATACAGCAAAATGTGAGAATAATGACATAATATTGCCAGAAAAGCTGTAATAGTAGGAGAATGGAAATAATTTAAAATGAGGAATGTTGAGCATCTTGTGAAAGTTACAGTCAACAAATTTTCTTCTCTTAATTTTAAGATGTTATTCATGTAAAATTCTCTTTATTTTGATAATATAACATTTGTGTAGCCTGGCTTTAATTACTTATACAACTCACAGAAGAGATGGTTGAGCTAAAAGCTAATTTCAAAAATAGTTCCTGACATTTGTAATTTCTTTTTCAGAAAAGAAAGCAAGAAAAAAAATTGATTAAAATCACATCTGGGATAAAAAATAATTCATTTAGAATCCATATCGCCCAGCCCTACTTTTTCTTTTGAATCCAGATCAGATTAATTAAATTGGAAAGCAGGATGTATTATGGACAGTTGACCTCTATTTGTCATTGTATCTTTCCTTTTCAACAGCTGATAAGCAGATTTCCTCCTGTGTCATTGAGGTTATCCGTTAGTTCGTTTGTTGATGCTGTTACACAATGTCATTTTTCTCAGAACTGTAGATCTGTTAAAATAAACTGTAGAACATTGGTTGTCTTCAAGTGTTTATTCAAAAAATCAACATGATAGTAAAGGAAAGGGTAGATGAGATGTGTATCCATCTGTTCATTTTTACTTTAATTCATAAAAATTCTTCTTTTAGTCTAGGGTGAGGCAGTGTAGTGCTGTTCCTCGCCTATGGTGGCGCTGTTTTACATATGAATGAAGCAGGCAGATGGCGCATGCCCGTTGGCAGGTGACGTCACTGTCTTCGAAACTCGGCCCGCTCCGCCATGACAGACGTCCAAACAACAAATCCGCTCTTGTTAAACTTGTAGAAAACCGCACATGTGCCTAATATCGCTTTTATTAAGTTTATTTAGCAGTAAAAAAAATTGTGATAGGGTCAGGGCCGGTCCTGACCCTATAACACTGTCTCATAAACATAAATAATGGGGTGTGAAATTAGGCAAAGGCGGCAATTTGAGGGAGGAGGACTGGGTCGGTTTCTGAGCTAACTATTTCAAGCTTTTATGAGCCTCAACCAGATGTGTTAGCTTCACAGACAAATTAGCTTGACTCGAACAAGTAGAAGCCATAAAAAAAAATACAAAAAGAACTTGGGAAAACAATTTCAATTTCAGTTACTTTGTTCAATACTCCCGATCCTCACTTCTGACGTCCATCATGTGAATGATAAATGTGAATGATAGTCTTTCTGATTGGCCGTAAATGAATGTGCAAGTTAAGGTGAAAGTACCGCGCCTCACCAACAGAGGGCATTGTTCAGCCCAAAAGGACAAATGCTGCTCCTCTTCAAAGTCATCAAACTTATGAGGAAGAAAGACAACAATTGATTCAAAATTTAAGTCATATTAAATATTTTATTTTTCTTGCCATAATGTTGTTGAATTTTAATTGATTAAGGCTTGATTGAAATCTTACATTAGTTAAGGTCAAAACTGAAATACAAGCATTACAATATTGGATTGGTAGATCCAACTGGTGGAGTGCCAGTCATGAACCTCACCCAGTTAAAACTGTCACTGGAAAACATTCCCCCAAACCCAATCTGTTGTAAAATGGTAAAAAAAAAAAAAAGAAAGTAGTGCAGGTGACCCATCAGTTCAACAAGTCACCAGGGGGTTGTGGATGTTCTTCCACATTACTTCTGTCTCCCTTGGGGATCGCTGGTGTATGAGGAGATTCTGTTTGTGAACACAAACATTTCCACGGTCTTGTTTTTTGACGTCAAAGGTCTGAAATCCTCCATGCCACTGGGGGGTGATTCCTAGTGCCTTCATGCACAAACTGATGTAAACATCATCTATGGGGAACAGAGGAAACAGCTTCGAAACAAAAGAAAGAGAATGCATCAACTCTCCGGAGATGACAAACCCTCCTCCACCTGGGTACGCAGGGTAGGGCCCACTGAAGAAGGTCAGAGGAATGTAGTATTTGCTTTTTGGGTCTCTGATTGGACTTGCTGATTGCAAGACTTGTCCAACATACAGCTGAGATGCCTGAGAGGCATCTAAAGACTCCAGGTATTGGATCAGTCCGTCAGTGTTGACAAAAACATCATCGTCCCCACTGAAGACGAAGGACACCTGTGGACAGTGTTTCACTGTCCACTGGAGAAACATGTCCATTTTGAGGGTCAGGTTCAGGAAGGACTCATGGAAGTCCCACTGCAGGATGTCTCCAAAGGTTTTGGCTTCGAACAACAGCAGTGCGCCAAGGTTTGGGTCATCGGGCTGGAAGTTGCCGAGGAAGAACACCGAGCGCACCCTCCGACCGTTCTGGTACACCCCATCTCGACCCCAAGTCTCCCGCACCGCCTGTCTCCTCTCGAAGTTTGCTGGGGATGACTTGATAGCAAAAAGCAGGAAGGTGTGGTTGTTGCACTTCATGGGCTGGTTGATTAGGATCGGCGGAGATCTACAGTTTATGCCCTTCAGGTAAGTCTGGAACAGTGGAGGGTAGGAATCAAAGTCATGAACGTTTATTCTCAGAATGTCCCGGTTCTCCTCCATGCAGGCAGACCAGGGGTACTCTCTCCTGGAAGGGTAGTTGTCTTCCTCAATGTTTGTCAATGCCGAGTGGAACAGGCGGTTCCAGTATGCAACGTGTTGAGGAATGATCTTCCTCAAGTCTTCAGAAGACACTGGGATATGAGGGTTCAAAGGGGATGTGAAGTTCACCTGCTTTAAGAAGTTTGCTCCTCTGGTGGTATTGATCTTCTCTACACTTAAGGTGAAGTAGAAGAGGATCAGAAGTGAAACGGAGAGGACCATGGCAAAGAGTCTTTGATTTAACTTCATAAATCAAACGGGGCATGCAAAGCGATGTGGAGTTTTTCTAGAAATGGATCAAATTTCAGTGGCGATGACGGATCTCTTCAAAGGTTCCACTCCAAATGTTCCTGGAGAACAGAAACATTATGCCTCAAACCAGGAGCCGAAATCCTAAGAGATTCTTAAAAAGTTTTAGCTACACATCACCACTTATTCCCAATGAATGCCAGTTGACCAACTGCTAGTTTCATATCGACTATTTGATCAAAAACTTGATTTTCATCTGTAAAGGCCTATTTTTCTAAAAGGGGGATGATTATACAAAAAATGACTGAGATCAATTGTAAATACAAGAATTTGCTAAACAAATTTGACATTTATTTTGGATTTTCTCTAATCTGCACTGAATTAAACGTGTGTATAACCCGTCAATGGTTTGGCTGGTTGACATTTTCAGGTTCACCGAATATGCATGGAAGAAAAATTAGACTATTGTGAGAAACTTCCAGTACTTTTTGTCCTGGAATAGTGTGAATTATTGATGACATGCAGCAATGAGAACTGTCTAAAAATCGATATTGCATAAGATCAATAAAAAATTATATTTTAACGGAAATGCCAAGGGTCTGAATATCACCAAACTCCCTTCCCCTTTTTATAAATGGTGCATTTTCATTGACCAGATAATTGCACAATTTGACATTTTGAAAATAAATTTGCTTAATGGAAGCAGAAATTTTAAAATCCGCTTGCCACTGTCACAAACCACAAAAAAGAAAATGACAGGAAGTGGTTGGAGGATGATGACGCAGCAGTTTTTTAAATTGAACTAAAGCGTAAACCAACTTGTTAAAGTTTGATTTGAACTGTTTCTTATTTAATGGAAACGTCAAGATAGAATGTTTTTTTTTTTTTTTTTACATTACCAGAATATTAACAAAGCTTTGCGGACATTTATAGTCAAAATGACAAATAAAGGCTTGAAACATTTCTCTGTGAATCCATCAGTTTTATTTCCTAAAGTAATTGACAAAAATACTGAACTTTTTTATAATTTTTCTTGGACATTTGTGGACTCAGACACAAAACTAGCATTAAAAAGTAAATCTTCGTTTTGATTATCTCTTTGTTTTAACAATGCTTCTTCAGAATGACAGTTATTGGAAACACTGTTTTGTGCCACAATTGTATGGAAAATTAAACTCTTTTCTCTCTTTTTTTAAAAACTTTTCACTAAAAACTGATTTGACAAATAATCTCCAGTCCGGTGTTTTGGTCTCAACTAAACTTTTTTTCAAGGATGATTTTATTTACTACGACTTTATTATTGAATTTATTTGTTTTGAATATTTAAAATGTCTTCCAGTTGCAGTGTTAAATGTCCATTAGAATTTAAAATTTATTGATCTTTGATAATGTGTTCTTGCATTATTACACCATTACTACTATATAACTGGAAAATGGTGTCAAAACAACAACATTGTAAATTATTGTAATAACTTCTGAGATAATTCATCGTCCAGTAAAATTTGGCCTGGTCAGTAAAATGACTTTGCTTTTCTTTTTGAGATGAAATGCAGTTAATTTAAAAAAATACTAGTTGTTTTATTCAGTTGAAATAAACCAAAGATCTCAGAAACTCAAGAATAGTTTAGAAACTAAAAGCTTAAAAATTCTAAATTTTCTGAGTTTTATCTTTCAACATCTTTTTTCAGTTTAATGAGTTGGATCTGCTGTCTTTGCCGGTTGTTTAGGTCTTCAATTAGGGTTAGGATTAGGATAAACTTGCTGAAAACTAACGAACAGCAGGAAGAAATCCCAAAGCACTTGCCTGCTCGGAAACACAGAGCTGGATTATTATGACAGGAAAATGTGGAAAACACAAAACAGTTTTAATCTGGTTTCTGGCGCAAATATTTTTATTACACTTGAAATAAAACAAAACTAAATTACATGTAGCTTTTCAGTAATGTATAGAAGCATCAATAATTTTTTAATATTGATGAAAAAGTCATACATGAAATAATGGAACAAGTATATTTTCATCAATAATAAGGAATTACAAGCGCCTATATTTTGCTGGAGTTATTTTTAAGTTAGTTTTGTCTTATTTTAAGTGTACCAATATATTCACACTACAATCCAAACAAAAACTACTTGGTAAGACTTTGTGTTTGTTAGTTTATTCTAGAAAGACATTTTGTCTGTAAAATCAGATGCAGAACTTTTAAACTTCAGCACAAAAAGCAGAAAGTAAAGCTACTCACAGCAGATTGAAATATCCTCCACTCTCTCTGGGTAGGAAATGTTTTTCCAGTTCATCCACATCACACAGTGGCAGATATTATAATGAAGCCAGATGAGGCGGGGCAGGACACCAGGGGAGTAAACACGCCCAGAGAGGCTGCAGGTCCACTCAGGTTTATTCAACATGACATCACAAACAACGCTTAAGACCAAACAGGATCATCAGGAGATGTGAGCACAGTGTCCCGATCCATAAAGCTGGTTCTTTTTTAAATGTATTGCATCTCCATCAGGCTGTCAAACACATTTTAATCAGCCTGGTTACAAAAATACAAACCATTCTGCTAATCCAATAAACCCCCCTTTCATTCCAAGCTATGCAAATGATCACAAAGGTCAAGGGTCGTTAGATTTTTTCAGGAATAAAGTGACTTTAAATGGGAACAAACATGCAAAGTCACCGCTAATAAAGGCTGGGCAATGAGGTTTCAAAATAAAGTCTGATTTTGATTGCTATTTTTTGTAAAGAAATGATAAATGACAGAAAATCTTTTGCTTTTATTTCAGTCATCCCTTCTTCAAGTTGTAAAACAGAAAATTAGGGGAAAATTGCAAGAATTTTTAATTATGAGAATATGTCTACTTAGTTGTTTTTAATACCAGATAAAATTTAAAAAAAAAATGTTCCCCTTAAAAACAGATATTACAAATATTTTCAAAAGGCGACTTTTATTTCCCGTCATCCCTTTAAGTTAAATATCAGGAAGGAAGCTGCAATATTTTAAATTAATTACAAGAATATTGTCATGTAGATATTTAATTATGAGGATAGTCAGATTTAAATTTTTTAAACCTTTTTTTCAAAGTAAGAAAAATAAAAAGACTGAAAATATTTTTTAACTTCAGTTTTAGGGCCAGACTGAGACATTTTGTTTAATTACAATGATGTAGTCATAATATTAGCCGAATGAAAATGAAATTTTACCAGAAAAACGTCTTAAAATTACACAAGAAAATCACTTGGGGAGATCGTTTTTTTGTTTTTAGCCAGCTCTGAAAAATCACTATTTCGTTTACTAATATTACAGCTTGATTCTCAACCTGTTATATTTTGACCTAAATTCAAAGTCCAAATAAACAGAAGCTGTAGAACAAGATGGCGGTCCTTGCTGCAACGCTCTAAACTACAAAATGAGAATTGGTGGAAAGGAAAAAAAAAAAATAAATAAGAGATTGTGCAAAAAAAAAATGTTTAAAAAACAAGAAAAAGTGTTTATTGTATGAAATTATCGCCCAGCCCTTTGGAAGCGTCCTGCTGTGCACATCCTGAGAGCAGCTTAAGGCAGAGGAGGGTTACGACTCAGCCTCGCTATTTAATTAGAAATGCCCTGATCTGACCCCAAAACAGAAAAAATAAAACTCCACATGTTAACGTTGCAGGCAGAGATCGCGTTTCAGTTCGTTTAGTTTATTCTGGACTTTTCAATCGCACCGTTATCTGCGATCTCTCACTCATCACACCACAGCGGAAATAAAGTTTTAATCTTCATCACTCAGCTCTGCTGGTATTATTGCATCCCAATCATGAATGTTGTGGCCAAAACGCCAAACGTAAAACTAATACCGGCTGCCGGGCGCAGCGAGGGAGATAGTGTTCACACGCATGATATAAAGACTTGTTCTGAGTGGAATAAAAGGCAACAAAGACATAATGTAGACGACAGAAAATAGGGAATACATAAAACGATGAATGCAGCGGGAGTCGAAGGATGTGAGGCGGCTGGTGAGGTCAGCGGAGGTCGCTCTCGTCGTCCTGTATGGTCTTCTTGATGCGTAGCAGCATGGTGGTGAGCCACTGGTCCAGACGGGAAATGGTGTCATATTCCTTCACCTGGAAATAATCCCAGCATGAAATTAAACAATACACACGTAATGTGGCTGTCATGATAAGAACGAGAGAAAATCATCGCTGGAGGTTTTTGTTTGGAGAAAACTGTAAATCTGATAAATATAACGAAGAAAAATCCCAAATACTTTCTGTATAATCAAACAAAACCTGGTAAAAAAATGTAATTAAGTTAAGGGTTTTATGTATCACATTGTAAATGTATGTATGGCTATGCAATTCCTGTTAAAAACCAAATAAACAAAGTTTGCAAAAAAAAATAAAATGTAATTAAGTATGAGCTTTCAATTGAAAAGTTACTGCGAGGGAAGAAAGTTATTGATTAATGAGTTAATCTAAGGTTGATTTATTACTAAGGAGCCATTTTATTTATTTAAAAACAGCGTTTCTCATAATATGTTGAACAAAAAAAAAATAATAATCAAATTAATTTAACAAAATAAAATGACAAAGGTTGGCAACAGAAGTGAACCAGTGGCAACAAGTGGCTAGTTAGCGGTAGCCTCGACCACCTGAAGTCCCAAAACGCAATGAAGATGACTAAAACTTTTGTAACGCAAGGAAAAAAAATCCCTACAGGTTTGAATCGTCCCTCAATGGCAATATAAGACATGTGATTATCATATTTACATTTAGTGAATTTACGCAACAAGCCTCAGTTTGTCCACTCACCGCGTCAGTGTAGCCGTCCACGTTCTGTTCTTCGTATGCATCTAGAAGTTTCTGTTGGGACAAAAACCCAGCAGAAAAAAAACACATTAAACATCAAACAGTAGCACCGACCTAAAGCGCATTTCATTATTCAACCATGTATAAATTTATATCAGCTGATAATCCAACCATCCAAATGCAAATAAAGGTTTTAACAGTTACAACGTGTAAAGTTACTGATTTTCAGATGTAAAAGTTCTTTAAAAAGACAAAAAAGAAAAGGAGCAAAATGCAATAAACACCTCAAAGAAATAGAAGAGCAGACCTCCAACATTTAATTAAATATCTAAGCTTTGGATTGATAATGTTTCAGTCAGATTAAACATCCTGGATAAGAACGTCAACATTAAAACAATTAAACAGGAGCAGCACTGCAAAAACACAAACTTACAAAATATTTTGGTTTAGTTTCAAATGCAAATATCTTATTATCAAAACTATACTACTAACAACTTATAGGAGTTTGATTTACGTCAATTATTTCACTTATAACATGGAAAAAAATTTTGTTACTAAACTTTTATTATTTTTCATTAATATCGAGAAATTATTGGCTTAACATTCTGAAGTGGTTCTTGGTGCAGCGCCCCCACAGGCGAGGAGGGGAACAGTTTTTTAAAGAGTTTAGTTTGTTTGAGTCAATCAGAGTGAAACTGAATCACAGCAGCTGAAAATGTTGCAGTTTTGTTCTCCAATCAAACTATCAGGTGTGAAAACACCTTAAAATTTAACGCAGAAATGCTTCCTCGGAAACCTTTCCGAATGTCGACATTTAGTCGTTTTTCAGTCAGCCTACCTTCAACAGCTTGCACTCTCTGGAGTCTGAAAACGCTGGAAACATTTCTTCATACTTCTGCACGGCAAGCTGGGCGGACAGCAAAGAAAACGGCCTTAACACAGAAGCTAACGCTACGCTAGCGTCACAGCTAGGACATTTAACGTGAGCCTTGCTCACCTTTGCGTTTAGCATGTCTACACAGAAGTGACACAGCGCCGCCTTGAAGAAGTGATCCTTGGCACTGTATTTCAGCAGCGTGCTGTCCATCGCGTGAGTTCCAACCTGTAATCAAGAGCTTACGCTATTTTACAGATTCTTCGCTCAGCAGGACGTCAGGCGCTAGCTGTTTAACGTCCCACCTGTTCGTAGATCTCTATCGCTTTCTGATACTGCTCCAGCTGGGCTGCATAGGTCGCAACTTTAAGAAGGCACTTGTTTGCAGAACTGAAAAAAGAAAAAAACGTTTAACACACCTACATATTTAACTGTTTGAAGTAAAGCGCAGAAAAGTGTTCAGATATTATCTACAATATTCACCTGGTGGATTCTTCACCTTTATAATAATCTGCTGCTTGTTCAAAATGAGCAATGGCCTGCACGTAAAAATGTAAACAAAGGGTTTAAAAAAAAGCAAACAGAATTAAATTAAAATGAATGGTTTAATTTTTCTTTAACCTTGTCGATGTCCACCAACTCTGTCTCGTAAATCTCTGCGATGGACATGTGATGCTTCGCTGCGATGGTGAAACGACCCTGAAAACGGATGAAAACAACGATTTTTACAACAATCAGCTTCAAGCCAAACTTAATGAAAGAAAAACACAAACTAACCATATCTGTGTAAATCTCGATGGCTCGGTTTAAGCAGTTGATAGCCTCTGTGGAGAGAGGAAACATTTAGACGAGAGCAGAAACTCAAACACCTCCAGACATTAATACGCATGGCATGAAAACTCATTATCATTAATTATCCCAGAAGTTACTGAGATAAACGATAACGTTGTCACTGTAAGATCATTTTCAAGTACTATAATGGCATAATGCAAGTACAGCATGTCACCACTGAACTCTGGAACGGGAAGGTATTTTAAATAAATTAACAAAAACAACAAAGAAAATAGATGCTGAAGTTTTTGTGAGTAAAAATGAGCTGGACGCACAGCATTTTGAGATTGAGGTGAGATATTTTCTTGGTTGTTTTTTTTCCAGAGAATTTCTAAGTTTGAAAAGTCAAAAATTATAATACATTTTGAGACAAATCTAAGCAATTTTTGAGATAAAAAAAATGTGAAAATCTCAAGTTTCAAAAGTAAAGAAATTTACTTTTTAAACTTCCAAGTTGTCTAAAAAATGTAGACATTTTTCTAACAAATTAGTAACTTTTTAAAATTTAGATTTTTTTTCTATAAAATTTCCAAGTTTTTCTAGAAATTTAGGGGATTTTTAAAAAAAGGAAATTTACTTGTTATTTTTTTTTCTCTCTCTACTATGGCTCTAATGCGCCGTACGATAGATAAGACTAAAGCAGCAGACTGAATCTTTTTGTCTTTGAACAAGTCAGCTAATCAAGCTGAAGAAATGCTGCTCTGTATGACAAATAACAATAAAACACAATATTTTGAGCCATTTTCACACAGAATGCAGCAGAACCAAAGACATGCAGGAGTCAGACTGACCTTGTGGATCTGCTTTTTTGAAGGCGTTTCCAGCATCTATCAGGTTGGTGGCTGCATCGTGTTTGCTTTGCATCTGCAGGTGAAGATGAGCGGCTTTGGAAAACGCATTTCCTGCAGCTGAGAGCAGATGTGGTGTTAAAGCAGTGATCATAAATACAGTCGTGAAGGAGGAAGAAGAGGAGGAGGAGGGGGAGCGTCGGCCTTCTTACCACACCAGTTCTTCGCCATCTTGTACATGTTGGCTGCTCTCACATACATGTCACAGGCCTCTTCCAACTTAGAGGACCCGCTGGAAAACACACACACTTTTTAAAAACATAATGATCCAGACCAGCCTTCCTCAAACTGGTGGTTCGTGGGCGCCCTCTACCGGTCAACTCCATGTAATCAGCCGTTTATTTTCTGTGATGCTACAGTTAGCTTAGCGAAGAAGTGTGTTTGAAAATAATAATGGAGAAATGGCTTACGATCTGAAGCTGAAGATACTGGTGGAAAGTTTCTCAGGTTGAGCTGCAGAACTTTTGTTTTTGAACATTATCACATAGCATGCTGCTGAATGCGAGATGATGTTGATGAGGTGGTGAACAGCGCTGCGCCCCGCGCTGACTAACTGCATCTTAACTCCTAAAATACAATTGTTTATGTAGGACTTCCAACTGTCTGAAAGACAATGTTTGTTTTTGCCAAAGCGACTCATATCTATTGTTTTTTTATGTTTCTAAATTACAAATGGTCCTAAAATGTTATCAATGCACACAACAGCTGTGGTAAAGAACTTTTTTTATTTCTGTGTGTTTTCCGTCATAGTAAAGCTTAGACACCGCACTTTCAGAATCTGTAAATAACTCAAAACGCCCCCAGTCACATATACAAAACAGCGTCACCTTTCACATTAGGAGGAACAAAAACAATGAGTTAAGAGACCAATAATTTCATTTCAGGTTGTATATATTGATGTGTTATTGCGGGGTAATTTCTAGTTGGGTGGTCCCTGAGTGCTTGTTAAAGGGAGTATGTTTTTCAGGTCCTCGGCCTGAAAAGGTTTGAGAAACACTGATACAAAACTGAAGTTTTCCTCTCTGTTAGGCTTAAATGGCTGGATAATATCATCATTCTCTGTTGAAAGAGAAAGTATCTCGATGATGAGCGCAAACCGGCATTTTTAGTTTTGTGAAGTAACTAGTTACATTTACCTGTGTAAAGTTTTGGAGAGAAAAAAAATACTTTTAGGAGTATTTTTATTAGTCTGTACTTTAAAAGTATTTTTTAATAAAGCATTTCTACTCTTATTTGAGTGAAATTTCTGGATTTTCTACCCACAGAATGAAAAACAAAAATGTTTCCCACACACCTGCAGTTTATTTGTTAAAGTTTTATATATGAATTACTTTCATTTTGTCCTTAAAATACCAACATTTTCACAACTTTTGTTATTTTTTAACATTAAAGGATTGATATTTTTGATCAGTTACTTGAGTACAGTTTTTACCAAATACTTTTTTACTGTTACTTGAGTAAAAATAAGTTAAAGGGATGCTACTCTTATTTGCGTAAAAATTTTGGTTACTCTGCCATCAAAGCAAGTAATTTTGCTTTGTCCAAGAAATGATTGCAATAAACAATAAATTTGTTGTTTTGAAACCATTTTCAAGTTATATAGTAATAATAGTATATTAATACAAGTGCACACTCTTAAAGACCAATAAAAGTTGAACAGAACAGAACTCTTAACACTCTAACTGGAGGATATTTTAAATAATACAAAATAAAACAACAACCAAAACCATAAACAAAATACATAATAATGTTCTTGTAAACAATAATTGTGCTTAAAAATGTTAATCATCTTATTGCAACAGACTAATTAGCACCAGTAATGTGCAAACAACCTGTCTTATATCAAGTCTTAGTTCAGCACAAAGGCAGGATGATGACTTGTTTGTTTTTTGCAGCACAGGAAGGAGCTCCAGCTTTCTAGTCCTGGCTCGTACATTCTCCCTGTGAATCTGTTTGTTTTTTTCCAGGTACTCCTGCTTCCAAAAACACACCTGTCAGAGGAATCTGTGAGCTTGTGTGCACGGCTGTCCATCCTATTTTAGCCCTTTGATGAACTGGTGACTTCTCCAGGGTGTGCGCTGTTTCATACTTAAAGAACACCGTCACGTTTTCATTTTTAGTGTATTTTCCTATCATTTTCTTCATTTTTTTATGGACACAATGCATCAGAATATAATTCTTATCACCTTGTTGCTTTAAAGATTTACTTTTTTTTTCTCCAGTTCATTTGTGGATTTACTGAATATTTTAGGGCCATCTGGGAGTTTATTGTAATTCCTAATTACGTTAAGTAAGTAACTCTTTTTCATATGTTTTCTGGTTTGATACTATAAACAAACGTGACTGACATGTGACTTGCACTTATTGACTGCTCCAATAGGAGGCGCCAGAGCAGCGACATTACAGAAAGTGTCCGCACATATCAAACTTTATACTTAAATGTGTCATTGAGGTCATATTTAAACAAATAATAGCCTGCTACCGAATCGATTTGTTTTAACAACGGAGTTGTCACGACGTATGTCGCTATTTTAGCCGTGAAAAGCAACATATTACGCAGTGATGTGCCCAGACGGGTCCAGTCGCGGTCTAGAGAAACATTTTAACACTCGTTGATAGCCTGGAGCGCTAAGCACCACCGTATATCACCGACAGCTGTACTGGTACTGTATGTTTTGCCATCAGATGTGCTGCTAACAGCTCAGCTAGCCACCTTCCGCATAGTTGGCCCTCGCTCTGGCTAACAGTCGCACACTCACCCAAAAAACGAGCCGAAAAACGACTGGGAAGACTTTAACTTCTTCTCCGCTTCCGCCATTAAAGCCGCGGCTTCTCTTTCTTTCCCACTGTTGTCCATTTTTGCTAGCTTTTCCCCCAACGGTCAGCAGGCGCGAGTAATGACGAAAGTCAACAAACTTAGCTAACGAGTGCTAGCGGCACTGTCACATCACCAACCACAGACTGCCCTCTGTCACGTGACAGGGGAGAAGGGAACCCCTCTGCTGGTGCGTTCAGGTACTCTTCGTAAAACTCGGAGACAACCTTTATTTTTCTGTAAATCACTTAGAGCAGCTCCCTTAAAATTCTTTACTCGTCCATAAAAGAAAAAAAAAACTTTTACTTTATAAATTCATTCAAATGTATACCCAAAAAGGAAAGCTATGTGCGTTTTAGTGCTGGATTAAATGAATTTCGGAAATCGGAGCTATAAATCACGTCACACCAGTTGAAAGAGTTGAAAGAGCTGATTTCTAATTAATCAATGCAGAATCAGAACTGCATTTGAAATAAAGTGTGGCAAGAAACAAAATGTTTTTTAAAATGCCAAGCAACAAGTCAGAAGTTTTCCATAAAACAAAAACAATATTTGCACAAGCAAGAAGCACAGTACGAGCCAAATATTTAGATCTACTAGCTTTTTTAGGTCAATTCAGTACTAAAATACTTTATTAAATCCAAAGAGAAATTAAATGCTGTTAGTCATCCAAAGTACATTCAAAGTGGAAATCCAGTAGCAGTCAGTTCTGCTCCTAATCAAAGGAGGCCTCTGACTGAAGAATGTTGCTGCATAGTTTTCTCATGACTGTCATAGCAGCTCATTTTCTGGGCCGCAGTGATGATATTCCACAGGAACATGTCCTGAATGACAACATCCATTTGGCGAGCCACTTCATTTGTTTTTGCCACTCCTCTTTAAATCTCTTTAAATCTCTCTCTGGTCATATGGTTAAAAAATAGTGCAATGATTCTTGTCCATCACAATCAGTCGAAGAGATGGGTTGAACTTACTTCAAGCCTTATGTTCAACTCTTCTGGGATTTGTAGTCATAGTTCAGGTGTTATTTGAACTTTTGAGATGCTAATTCGCTGCACCGAGTTGTTACTTTGTTGCCATGGTATTCCATTATAATAACTCTCTAAAAATTTTAAAAACGTAAGGAACCAATGAGAAGTAATGTCACAGACCTGCTCCAATATTTAATTTCCTGTTGGATTAATAGTTATGTTTAATTGAAAAGTGCTGCAATATTTAACTCTTGAATTATAAGAATTTCCAAGATTTGATGAAGTAATAAAGGATTTTTTTTCCCCCTCTAGGCAACTTTCATTTGCAAAAAATGTCATTAGCAACAAATGTTTTTTTTCTGAATATTTTTTGTCATTATTTAGCACTGCTTGCATAAACTGTTTTAATTGTCAGAAAATTATTAATCAAACATTTATCAAACATTTTGTCATAAGAATAATTTAAAAAAGATGAGATTTATCTTTAGAAAACATGATCACATATCACTTCATCTCAAATTAATGTAACTTTGTCTCTTCATCATCAATACTCCAAAGGGTCCATTGTTATGTGATGCTCAGAATATTTTAATTGCCATTTTTATGATTGTTCTTGTTGTCTGAAGAGATTTTAATTCCATCAAGTTTAAAAGTACTTTATTGATCCCAACGGAAAATTAAATATTGTAACTCATACTATGCAGGTTTTTTCAAAGAGTCGCTGTGGTTAGGAAGCATCTACAGTACTAGTTTTTGTTACAGTGGTTTTGAAGCAACCTCTGATTGAATATACTCTGTTGTTGTGTAACAGTTTCATGAATAGGATTATTAGTTCATAGTTTTCTTTATTTTATGAAGAGTCATTATTTGCACAATAAACTAGATGCTTCAGAGCAACCCAGAAAAAAAAAACAACAACAAAAAAAGAGAGAAATTATTAACTCCTGCTTTGAATGTTCTGAATATGGCAGAACATCCTGAATTGTTACGCTAATTTTAAAAAACTTGCACTGACAAGTTCATCTTTTCACAATAAAGCTGCTATGTATTGATCTTGTTGCTTGTTATTTTGAAAAATCAAAACCACGAGCAGCAGGAAAAAGCTGAGGAATGTTCTCAAATTAACTGCAATAAATACATTTAAAAGTTATCAAAATTTATGAAAAAAGAAGGAGGGCACGTCTATTTATAAAGTTTAGAAATGTGTTGGCACATGTGTGTTTGTTATATATTCTGCTACTTTTGTGTCTTCTTTGGTAAACCTAAACATTTAGTTTTTCTACCAACCATCCTCAGTTTTCTGATACTTATTATTATTTAAACTGACAGCTCTCCATGCGTTTGATTGAATTCAGCTGGAATATCATAGGAAGGGTGAGGTTTACGTTTCATTATTGCTCATTTAAAATGAACTGTTTGGCTGTTAATGATGTAATATCCTAAGAAAAACACTGTGGTCACCATTCAAGTGGAAAATTATTCCCACTCTTCTTTGTCATCGCTTCTGGCTGTAAAGGAATAGTTCTTCTCTTTTTGAACTACAAAATCAACATGAACAGTCAAGTTTGTCCAGGTATATTGTTAAAACTTCGATTTATTGGTAGCCTGTACTTTTTCTTTCCTTAAATGAGCCAAAAACAAACACTTTCAGGCTTTTTCTAAGAATTTTGACTTTATTCTCGGGAATTCAGGCTTCTCTCAGAATGTTTATTTCCTTTGTTCCAGACTGTTTATACAGAAGAGGATTAAATGCGTCATTTTTTGCTGAAAATGTCGACATTCTCAGGTTAAAATAAGAAATCTGAGATTAAAGTCAGAATTCGGGCAGGCTTTTTCGCTATTCTTTTCATTTCAGTGACCCAAATTACCCTTCTCCTAATGTTTAGAACTAAATGGTAGGACGAGGAAGGTTTTTTTTCAGCTAATTTGCCAAAACGTTATTAAATTCTGTGTAAGAGGTTGATTGTTGTGTTAGAAAAACTGTTTGAATCCCGTGAATCCGTATGTACCACGCAGATTTCGATCAGGCAAAGCGGAAGTCTCCAGTTTCCTGCTTCTACTCGGGTCCTGTTGAGCAGCCCGTGCGAGGCTGTCCTGGAGACCCCGCGCTGCCTGCACCTCTAACGTCTCGGGTGAGTTTGTTACAATGTAGCAATTTCTCTATTAATCCGAATAACCGTTACAAAGCCGCAATATCTGCCAACTGCGCACAAAACACAAACCGCATCGCTAACGCAATCGAAGCGCCACGCTGCCGCACCGCACCGTAAACACGTTCATTTTCCACCGAATTCCCAAGCATACCCCCCTCATCCAAGAGTATTCCAACATTAACTAATATTTTGCTTGCAATTAGCGATAGCTCGCTACGTAGTTGCGCTTGAACGTCCCAGCAGGAGGCTCTTGTCGGTTCTGGCTGAACTGCGGTTCCGCTGTGCAGCTCCAGTGTTCAATTTGTGTCACTCGATGGTTTGTTTTGAATGTCAAAGGCTCAAGCTAGCTGTATGTCTCAATATTGTTGATAGCTGGTTAGCCCGCTAGGCTAATGCAACTCAGCAGAGCTGCATCAAAAAAATTACCAGAAATAGGGGTGAAAACTGGGTTTTAAAACCAAAACTTTGGTTTCATTTGAGTTCTAAGCCAGGTGTGTTGCTGTCAAACGTTATGTGCTGGGAGAAATAATTAAAGGTTGCTTGCAAAGCTGTTTAAAAACACCAGCTAACATGTAGCAATCCGTTTGCAGTGTCTCCATTCAAATCCTGCGCACTGGGTTTGCTCTACCCGAGCAATGGCTCCGACCCGCTGCCTTCTCAGAGCGACGACCGAGCTCCCTTCATAGTATCGATGACCACTCTGCTTAAACACCGTGTGCATTTGTTGTGTTTGTGTGGCTGGAAGCTGCGTGCAGAGTTGTTACTTGTGATGAAGACAGTGAGAGCCCACACTCGGAAATCCTTCCAGGCGGTGCGAAAACCGCGCGTTTTCAGTTTGTTGTCGGCCGTTTGTCGGTGTTTAGCAAATCTAAATTCGGTCTGAGTTCATCCTAACCGCATCAGTGTTTGTTATTACTGAGCCTGCATGTGAGAAGATGACGCGCTGCAAGTCATCGTGAAAATAGTGCAAAAGAGAATACACTCTTCTTTATGTAGCAATAAGACGAATTCACTTGTTTAATAGTAAATTAAACAAACATTTTAGGGAAGAACATGCAAAAATAACTGATAAAATAACGTTTTATGTTACAGGAAAGCTACAATAAATGATGTTTTCTGTCTTGCTTTTAATAAGTTGTTAGTTTCTGTTTTTGCTGCTTGTATCTGTTTTTAAACTAGGTTTTTGTAGCATTGTTCTTGGGAATACGGAGTAAACAGCTTTCTGGCAAAAAAATATAGAGATGACAAGTAATTTATTATTTTACAATTAGGATAAATTTTCTTGCTTTTAGTCAAAACTAAAAGTAGTAGCAACATTTTCCCTGATTTGTTTGTTTTTGTTTTCATCAAATTGACTGAGTTTCAGTAATTTAAAAACTGAATATAAAGACATGCTTTTGTTTCCCTGCATTTTTTTTACACTTTTTGTAATATTAGTCTTATGTGACTATAACAATTTTGAGTCGTGTTTTGTCTTGCTCTGTAATTTTTAGCCTCAATGAAGTGCTACATCTCAAGATTTACGTTTTTGGGATTGAAAACGATGATTTTTGGACTTTTTTGGATTGAATCAGAAGAAATTATAACCCACATCCATACATAAAAAGATGTTATAAACTCACTCAGTGATGGTAAGACACTGTGGTCATTAAGTAAGACAGATATTGAATAATACTAGCCCAAGAACTGGACTGTTAATGTCAGTATCAATGTTCTGCAAAACTTTACCTCTAAAAGTTTTTTAAATCTTAATTAGCTGGTTTATGGAATTTTTATAGAATTCTAAGGATAGTAAATAAAATATGTCTTATAAAAAATGGAGATTTGTTGTGTCTTTGACTGAAGAAAATAATTCTTTATTTAAAATATGATTTCTCAATAATTACTTTATTTATCCACCTGTACAATCCTGATCTTGGCTGTGATTGGAGGATTTCTGATGTAGCCGTTACATCCTGTACAGGTCTTCAGTCAAACAGGCATATAGGAGAACCTGCTCAGGAAAATCCTCTCGCCT